CATGCAAAGGATGCCCAGCAACATTGAAAGTGGTGAAGCCTTTGAAAACCTGTAATGGTTTTACCATTTGTGTACCGCTGCAGGCTATAAGATCGTGTTTTACTGTCATAGGCTCTCATATTTTACACATTGTGAACGCGTCCATCATTTCTTGTACTTTTCCCGACACATGGAAGCTCGCTACAGTCGTGCCTTTGCACAAGTCCGGTGCCAAAGATCTACCAGGGAATTTTAGGCCAATCTCTATTTTACCTGTGTTATCAAAAGTGTGTGAAAAAATTGTTTGTACTCAGCTGTCATCTTATCTCGCTCGCTGTCACCTTTTAGCTCCGTCACAGTATGCTTACCGATCTAGACACTCAACGGAGGACGCGCTGATCGACGCGGTGGAGTGGATGACGCGGCGTGTCGACGATGGCGATGTTGTCGCCGTCACGTCCATTGACTTGAGCCGGGCGTTTGACAGTGTTGACCATGACGTTCTGCTTAGAAAGCTGTGCTGGTATGGTATTGATCCTAGATGGTTTCGTGGCTACCTGACTGGTCGACGGCAGGTGGTGAGAGGTGGTTCCTTGTCCTTGCCTCTTTCCCATGGGGTTCCGCAAGGTTCCCTAGTCGGTCCCATCCTCTTCAGCATCTTCACAAATGACCTTCCATCCTATCTTCCTCACGGTCGCCTCATCTCCTACGCCGACGACACCCAATTACTTGACTCGGCCCGTCCTAAAGATCTATCCATCCTTAAATCCCGACAGGAGGATACCCTCCGTGCTGTCCTCTCCTACTTCACATCCAACTCCTTAAAAATGAACCCATCCAAGACCACTCTGCTCCTTGTCGGCACTGCCCAAAACCTTAAGAAAACCTCATCCTTCCACCTTAACCTGCCAGGCTACTTACTAACACCCTCGCCATTTGTGAAGATGCTGGGAGTGACCCTAGACCCCACCTTATCCTGGGAAAAGCACATCTCCAACGTTGTCAAAAAGTGCAATTCCATCCTTATATGTCTGTATAAAATTCGCCATCATCTCAGTCCCGACATCCTTAAGCTCCTTATCCAGTGTCATACCTTTCCTCACATCCTGTACTGCCTCTCTGTCTGGGGTGGCGCCGCTGCATGCCACCTTCACCGTGTGCAGAAGGCGATGAATTTTGGTGCGAGGGTTGTCTCTGGCGTGCCCAGGCATCACCATATATCGCCGATCCTAGCTGCGCTGGGCTGGTGTGACGTGCGCGAGCTGGTTGAGCGCCGTGACTGCCTCGGCGTCTACAGGGCGCTGAGGGACCCGCACGCTCCCGCGGCGATCCGCTCCCTGTTCGTCCCTCGTACAGCGGTTTCCCGGCGCAGCACCCGGTCGACTGAGGCGGGCGCTCTCGAGCTGCCTCCATACCGCCTGTCCGCGTCGCGCCGCGCGTTTTCTTACCGAGCGGCCGCGGCGTGGAACCGCCTGTCGCCGGCTGTCACCGGCTCTGTAACCCGCGCCGAGTTTCTGCGCCGGCTATCGAACTAGTCGAGGGTCTGGTTTGTCCGACTTTGGACCGTGTTTTTATATACCCATCTCTTGATTGTGATTTACTGTGATATTGACTGTGTCATGTTTTTATCTATGTACTCTGACTCGGACTAAATATTAAGCCACTATGTGGAAATGTCCTCAATACACCGAACTTGAACTTGAACTTGAACTTGAACCATTTGCTGTGGGGGAGTTTGCACTCTGGTACAGAATACTAATTATAGGTACCAATTGTTCCTTCATCATCAAGAGCTTGACAGTTTCAGAAAATGCAACATGCTGCATTGTCACATCCCTCTCAAATCAATCTCACCTGGTCATTAGGAAAGCACCTTACAGCTATTGAAGACGAGCGTTCAATAATTCTTTCAGGTAATAGAAAAAGAAATCACGCCTCGGTAAAGGCAGGTAAAGGCTTCATAAAATATTATCTAAAATAACTCTTATAAGCATTTCTGGATTTTCGGCAAGTCCAATTACATAATATAAAACTGGCGCTTTATGTTCTAACTGGTGTGTTAGTGACCGCTAACAGAAAATGCTGATCAACGGAGCCAATGGAATTAGATTATAAGTGAGCATGAACCTTACTTACGGCTAATTCACATGATGGTGAAAACCTTGAACACGTAATTCACATGACGGTGAAAACCCTGAACACAATATTTCTTACGCGAGCTGTTGACTTTACTAATAAAATGACGTCTTCTTCTGAAAATGTTAAAATTTGATACCTAACCGTTGTTTGAGAGCAATTTTTAACTATATAGCATTAGTATTTAATAATTGTAATTTTTATGGCTGTTTATAGTGACAAAAAACAATTTATTGCCACTTCTTTGCTATTGACGTCATTAAAAACTCAAGTAAAATTTTTGATTGAAAGGCAATTGTGGCTCGCACGTCCTTGGGGATTTGAGCGAAGATCATTATTTGGAAAAATCAAAATAGATGAATGTTTTTCTTTCTTGGATGCTCACTAGTGTTTTGATGCCTTGCATATCAAATTAGTTTTAGACTTGCTCAGAAGGCTGCGCTAAGCCTGGCATATCACACCCCAGAAAATATGCAAGGTAAGAAAGAAGCAAGAGTTTTGACTAGACAATCACTGTTTGACAGTCCATCAACTTCAGTTTCATTTTCCATACCTAACATTGATAATGAAAAGCACCAGGGTCTGTTCTGTCCCACAACCATGCTTCAGGATTTGGCATTTGATTTCTACACTGCTAGTGCTTCTATTCTGGTTCGTTGTTTATGTTTTCTGTTGATGTAGGTATCTACCTACCCATCTTTCTTAACCCCTTGCAAGGGCTTGTGTAGGCATGCGTTGCGCATCAGGCTTCAGGCCTTCGGCCTAAAGCCAGATACACAACCACTTAACCTATGATGCTTCATGAGCTTGAGAATCTATAGCCCATTGCAATGTGCTTTTTGCTATATGTTTCAACTAAAAACAACTTAATATTATATACTATTTGGTTGCATTTTATTGAAAGTATCAACGGCCGGCTGACGGCTGGCTGCCCACAGTTTGCCACGGCTGTGGGCGGCTGTGGCTGTGGAGCCACGGCTGCGGGACGGCTAGGCTGTGGAAAATTGCAGCCGTGCAGAACTCTAGCCTGCGGCGGTGGCGGTGGCGCGGCGTCGGGTACACTGGGATGATCGATGCTGACACAGCATTACAAGATCCACTGCCAACAGGCAGGCGCGCACCCTCGACGCTGCGAAATGGCGCGGGTGCCTGCCCACACGGGTCGGGACAGCCTTGGATTGTCGCATGTGATAGAGTCATGATGACAATAATGCCCTCATTACGGTCCGAGCTGTGCGTAATATCATACGGTTACCCTACAAAGTCTACCAATTTTCTGTTAAAATTTGAATAGCAATCAGTATGTAGTGTTAAAACACAGGTTGTGAAATGTTTATTCGAGTGTCCGTGGCACAGCTATAATTAAGTGAAAATCAATTAACACATTTTACACAATAATCAATTTTACCAACATCTTTCGGAAATCATTTAATAATTTATCACAAAAAATATACTGAGCTATCAATGGAGCTTTTACAGTATTTTTTCCATTCATTTCCATATTGATGTCAGATTGTTCTACTGTGGTTTGATATATGTTGAATGTTGATTTGTCATTTCTATTCAATGTTCATTTTTCACACTCCCTTGGGCTGCCAAAAGCCCAAAAGACGAATGAATTTAACGCGGAAATCCCGAGTCTGGTGCTTTGGTAATTGACATTTGCATGCTAGAATAGAGCTATGATAACTCAATTTCCTTCCGAGCCTGCTGGCGTTGATTCCGCCGACTAAACTAAAAATACTTCATGAGCATACATCAAGGTAAAGGCTTGCTTACCCTTTCCACCATATAGCTGGAAACAGCTGTATGTTACTCAGGCTGACATTAGCCGTTTTCACGACGGTCACCACGGCGGTAGAATCTCCCTTCACCTCATCTTTCGAGCGAGCTGGAGAAAGATAACAAAGGATTGTGTGTCATCAAAAGTTTTACCAATGTAACAATGAGTTCGCCTCATTACGATAAATGGGGCTGAAACTAAAAAAAAAACTATGACTATATCGAGTCAAAATCAGCAATTCAAATGACTCCTTCATTTGAACGTGTCGGATTTCCTCTGATGACGTCACCACGGCGCCTTTATTTCCCTAGTGAACCAGCCTGAGTAGTAAAGGAATCTTGAATGAATCTGGCCCCAGTCAGCGTTTTACCAAATGAGGGCACTTAGCATTCAACACGATGGAACTGACCCGACAGCGGCAACTCGTGTGTGGCCTTCCTCTTTGATATGCGCCGCCAGCGACAGAGACGCAAACCTCCCGAGAGACACCGGCCCCTTCAGGTCCGGCCTTAGTATTGACAATAGCCGCCATAGCGACAGGGGGTTGTTGCCCCCGGCGGTTTCCGTGACCTTGGCTGACCCCGGGTCGGGGGCCGTCTGAGGCCCCGGAGGGGCTCCCCAGAGAAATTACTGACGCCATCGCGGCGGCCCTAACGCTGCGCTCAGCCGCCCACAAGAGGGAATGATTACATTTGGTAGCACCAAGCAGCACATTCCCAAGATATATTGTGCGTTGTATTGTTGGGTGGTTACAAGACGGCATACGCATCTATGTATAGTCGACTACAGAATGTTGTTCCACTCCTCAGAAGCATCAGTTGATCGGAGCGCTAAGTTGTGCCGTTTATCACGCAATTAAGCGTGTCGATTGTGAGCATTGGGACAAAGCTATAATTTGCGAACTCAGCCCGTGTGATGCGGCACAGCCTACCCCTCCAGGCAAATAATTGCCTGTGAAAAGTGGAACATTTTTCTGTAGTCGACAATACACCTTCTGTGTCGCGATCATCTCCGCATTCTAGTGCTTTAATGCGTTGTACTTTCAGTGAAAAGGGTAGCATGATGGAATGATGATCAATGCAACAACTTTGGTTTGTTTCAGAACCTCAAGGATCAAATCTTGACAACGAATGTGTGGGTGGAACACGTAAGTACAAACGGAATCTTACTTCATTTCTATAGCCAACTTTGTCCTATCTCCGCATCTGTCTGTTGCTCCTCGGTCTCTCTCTCTCTCTCTCTCTCTCTCTCTCTCTCTCTCTCTCTCTCTCTCTCTCTCTCTCTCTCTCTCTCTCTCTCTCTCTCTCTCTCTCTCTCTCTCTTTCTTTCTCCCTACCCTCTCTCTCTCTCTCTCGTCTTTTTTCTCTCCCCCAATCCCTCTTGCTCATCCTCTTCCGTTCTCTCTCCCTCTTTGTCGCTTCTCCTTATAAATGGTGTCTCACCGCGTGCCTTGCCTGCGTTACTGCATTTCACGCTGCTGGTCCTTAGGGACATATTTATTTACTGACGAAGCGCACCACAAATAACTGTTTTAGATTTACGGTGATGTTTCCCCCCAGTCCGGAGATTTAGACGGGCGGTCGTGCCCATGCCATCTGTCTTCCTCGGGCCGGCCGTGTGCAGTCGGACCGGTTGGGAGGACTCGTTAAATGGTCGCTGGGCTGCTCAGTCGACCGGCCTTATTAGCGACACAGGACTCGGGCGGACAATATTTGAATAATGGCCTACCGACCCCTGTCCGACCGACCCGCCGGCCTGGAATGGAACGGGTGGGCGATCACTCGTCCAACCAACGATGCTCAACGATGGGGTTCGGTCACCTCAAGTTTTCAACTATAGCCTCATCATTTGAGCCTAATGCTTGTTAACCCTCGCCGGCACAGAGGAGGGGGTTGATGCAACCCCACCCCCCTAAGGTTTTTCGCAAATAACTCGCGTAAAAAGCGGCTGATCGTGACGAAACTTTCAGTACCTTCGCATTAATCAATTTTACACCTACCCTGAAAATTTCATGACCCTGACCCAAATGACCTTTGACCTGTGGCCTCTTTTCCCTGACCATGTTTGGCCGAAATCGCGATTCGGCGTATGTCGGCTCGCATTAGCCGCGCGTTTGCAAGCTTTTCGTGGTTTCAAACGTTCAAACATGTGATTTCATGTTGCTCCCATGCATTAGGGTGGGTGTCAAGGTCACCTGAAGGTCAGGTCAGGTCATTGACCTTTGGTGACCTCGGTTCACTTTTTCGAGTTTTACATGTTTCTAGTCTAGTTTTTGGAGCTGAATTCGAATTTAGCAACCATTTGAACATTTACGAAGTAGTTTTGGTGCCTTCGTAACATGTTACGAGGCTGTCAGAGGCGGATAACAGGTACTACGAATACCCGTCACGACCTCTACCGGTTGACCTGACCTGACCTGACCTGACCCGTCCTGGTCTAAACGCTTAACGACATCATCTTTGATCAAAACTAACACGATATTCGTGATCAGCACCTCGGAAAACCCCTTAGCAGCTACGCTTTACGACTTTCTAACAGGTCCCGATATTCCCGATTTTTTGGTCATTGACCTGACCTGGAAGGTCAACCGATGACCTAGGACCTTAAAATTGGGTATCATTGGCTTCCTCTCGTGACGGGCAACACGCTCGTTTTTTTTCCGCAAAGCTCTAGCTCCATCAGGGGCCAAAAGCGAGGGGGGTCGTACCAACCCCCCCCCCTTTGTGCCGTCGAAGGACTCAAAATGGCCTGTGCCGGCGAGGGTTAAGAAATGTTTGAATATGGTCATTCACCCGCCACGCTGGATCAGAATAACGATCCGATAATTCCTATGAAGTTCAACGAAAAAGAAGAAGAAATAGCTGGTGATTTTGCTAGTGTTTCTCATGCACAAACCACTTCGATGTTAATTTCATGTGGCCACTAAGCCAAACATATACCAAACTGCAATCCACACAAGTTTTATATCCTGCCATACGTTTAGATTCATCCCTTGGCACAGTCTAAGCGGCCTATTATGGCCCAGAATAGCCCATTTAACTAGCCAACTAATAACAACGCATGACATGATGGGGTCGTTGCTATTCGCGCGGCGTTTGCGTCGGCTGCGGTCGCCGGGTTGGCCATGACCGCCGGCGGGACACGACCATATTTTACTGGCGCGTCAGCCGTGACCCACAGCCTGAGTGGTCGGTCGGTCACCCCCCCCCCCTACCCCTTCCCCGTCAGCTGTGCCCGACAGCGACCCGTGACCCCTGACCCAGTAGCCCGCGGTAGTGGTCGCTCCCCGTTCCCGGAGGCCGTAATTCAGCAGCAGCTCTGGTGGTGACATGTCTGGCTGCGTAAAGTTGTCAGCGGGCATATCGCGGTGCCAGCTGGACGAAAGAGGTGTTTAGAGGCCTGTATGTTGTTGGGGACTTATGTCCGTGGCATTGTATTGTAGACGTCGACCTTGGAGATGATTATGTTATTACTTTTGAAACGCGTTCACAAAGTAGACGAGCAGTCGACTGAAATCAACGATTGTGAATTTTGAACTACAATGTCTCATGAAATTGTATACCTACGCGAATATAGGTATATTACACATATGCAGTTCACAACAGGCTCAATTCATCTGCCCAGTCGCAATAACGGAAATAAAGGAGTCCACATACAATTATGATGGGTAATGCAGAGTAAAAGAGGAAATAAGATATAAAAATCCGTATCAAACTAAACGTTGTTGCTTCATATTCACATTGACATTGCAGAAACATATTGTAAGTTGGACGTCATGAACGGACCTACATAAAATTTCATGAGGCTCTGGTATGTGCTATAACCCAATAAAAATGGTATTACTTGAACCTGTGGCCTTTAGGGGTGTTTGGAACGCCCTCAGGTTTTTTGCGATTATCTCAGAAGGAGAGAGAGAGAGAGAGAGAGAGAGAGAGAGAGAGAGAGAGAGAGAGAGAGAGAGAGAGAGAGAGAGAGAGAGAGAGAGAGAGAGAGAAGAGAGAGAGAGAGAGGGAGAGAAGAGAGAGAGAGAGAGAGAGAGAGGAGAGATAGAGGGAGAGAGGAAGAGAGAGAGAGAGTGGGAGGGGAGAAAGTTCACTTTTTAATTTCTTTCTTTTTTACTTCATTTTATTTTATTTGTTTGTAGCAAGCTGAACAAATGCCAGAAGCAAATGCTTACCTAAATCAGTTCCAAGATTCTGCGACAAAGACGCAGAACAATTTACTTGCTGTCAATATTGAAAGATGATACATTCTAAAAATAGGAAATCAAGCAACTAACACTGATGAGCTGCAGTTGACCATACACCCGCTAGTGAATCAACCATCTCTCTCCTTACCCATCCCAACCTTCAACTGCAGATCTAACACCCCCCCCCCCTCGCCGCGATCCCGGTCCTGTCCGCCGTCCGGCGTTATTTCTCCGCCGACATCGGGTCATGTCTTCTACAATAATAGCTGGCGGGGCCGCCTCCCTGGCGACACCCCGCACGAGTGCCTCCAATTGTCGGGCGCTGACGGCTGCGGGCGGGTTTGCAGTCTCAGCGCCCGTGGCACCTCGCCCTCGTCCGTGTCCGGCACACCAACTGCACGGACCGCGCCCAAATTGGCCCAGTTGGCGGCGGAGCCGCACTGATTGCAGTCTGTACAGGCTCACACCTCAGGCCAATTGGGGGACTTGGTGCGGAAACTGCAGTTCAGTCAGACTTTCAGTGTAATGGTCTCAGGGTGATGGGTCCAGCGATGCCAGTTGTTAAAACATATACGATTGTATAGGGTAGGTGCATAGTGGCCTCAATGTGGTCAATACTCATACATCGGTTCCATTCTCTGCATTTGTGTAGCATTGATGATAACGTTTTTCGTTGTATTTTGCACTAGCAGGACCCTCACTCGTTTGTGTGTATAATTATCCCAGAAACAGTTATAACAGTCCTTCACCACAAAAATATAAACAACTATTGTCTTTCAAGTCTTAGGCTTAAGTCTTTCAATCTGTTGCATTGTACAAATAAAACTATTGATGCATTGCATAGCTAGTGCTACGTTGAAAAGAAAGGTTTGCACGCAGCTATTCTATGGACTACTTTATCGTTGTTAAAGAAATGGAGTGAATGTCGACTGAATGCACCCGCTGGCAGCCAATCCAAGTAAAGTACGTGTATTTTGTCTTCATGAAGTGTGCTGTCTGTTCCTCAGGAGTGGATGGACTACAAGTTCACATGGGACCCGGAGGAGTACGGTGGTGTGACCGAGCTTTACGTCCCAGCCGAACACATATGGCTGCCAGATATCGTCCTGTACAACAAGTAAGATTGATGGCTATTGATCTTATCTGATCTGATCTACTTTATCGGGATAGATGTCATGGAACTCACGAAAAAATGCTGCTGTTTGGCCCCCACCATTCCCCAAAGGAGTGTCTGGCATCTCAAACGGGTTTTCCATATGGCTCAATACGAGCTCGCTGGTTCAAACGAATTTAATTCAAGGCGAACCTTTTAGAAACAAAAATTATGTAAGTGGATGATAAGAATATATGATTTCAAGCTTTTACGACTAGACATTACAAGGTAGGAACGTTTTTCGGCTACTAGTCGTTTATTGTTTTCGTTTCGAATTTTCGACCTTCGCATCGAGGTCGTTGTCAAGAAACATATGTTTCTTGACAATTCGAAACGAAAACAATAAACGACTAGTAGCCGAAAAACGTTCCTACCTTGGATGATAAGAACATTGTCATATTTTCACAAGGATACGTGTTCAAAAGAAAATTGTTTCCGCTGAGCTATTATGTTGAAATGTTTCTAGTGTAATCACTACTGACATCCATAATGAGGCCACCCACCTTTAAATCCTCTCGTATTCTTAGGCTCCATACGACTTCCCATCCTCTAGCCAGCTCTCTCAATATCCGAGAACCTGCTCAGTGATCACCCTTGCTTCTCTCAAGTACCTGTTTGTATTTGTTGTACCCTCCCTCCAGCGACCTACTTTCCCGTAGCTCTCAATTCTCATGACTAATGGTAAAGTAATCCTGTTCTTGACGGCTCGCTGGCTCGTCCTCAACTCCTGCTAACTGCTGATCTGTTCTTTCCAGCGCCGACGGAGAGTACGTCATCACGACACTCACCAAGGCGGTGATACACAGCGGCGGACGGGTTGTCTGGAACCCGCCGGCCATCTACAAGTCCTACTGCCAGATCGACGTCCAGTACTTTCCCTTCGACCAGCAGCAGTGCTTCATGAAGTTCGGCAGCTGGAGCTACGGCGACTCGGTGAGCTAGGAGCGGACCGTGGCGGCGAGCTGAGTAGACACACAGGATAATGAATGCTGCTATTAAGGTTGTGAAATGCGCTATTTTACAAAAGGATTGGCAATCTTCAGTCGTATCTTGGGCTATAACTCAAACTAGTTACGTTTTAGACGATCACAGGGAATTAATTCGTCTCCTAACCAATCCTAGTTTAATTTCTTGTACGTAACAGCAAGACTCCGATTTCTGCAAAGGCAGGTGGCCTACCTATTTCCAAACTAAATAAAAGGTCTTTGAAGCAGTCTACTGTTGGATTTTGCGCTCCAGCCTGGACAGGCGGAAGCTGCCGTCTCTGCCACCTGCGACCTGCGATCAAAGGTCACCGCTCTGTAAGTTTGTGCGCGCCGTGCTGCCAGCATACCGAACTAGGCGCTCGGCGCACCGAGCCAGAGACTGACGCTGAGCCGCAGGTGATGACCGGGACGGTCCGAGGATGGTTCCCTGGAATACGCCGCCACACAGAATGCTGATGACCTCTGGGACGCCTCCCGTGCCATAGGGACACATCATGGAAATGGAGCTTTTTCTGTAGCGTGCGTCAATGATCGGATACATCTGGGCATTACAAAAGAGCTTTAACTTTGTATGCAGACATACGCGGTTTTATTACAGCAATTAGGAGATACTTACTTTTATCCGGGATATGAACTCACTTTATTTCAAGGAAATAAACGCATAATATCGCTGCCACCATGGCTGAACAGTTTCCAAGGCGACCCTGGGTGCATCAAAATGCGTCATATATTTTCTTCTACGTTTTTAGCTTTCTTCAGTCTATTACTTTCATATATTTCCCATTCCCATCCCGCCTCTAAAACCAGCCTTCCACTGATCTCACCACCCTCCACCATCCATCATTGCTCCCACCGTTCATGCACCCTCCTCCGGCCACAGCTGCACCCTGCCTCGGCCTCTCGTCGGCGCGTGTTTACTGTCGCGCGCCGGAGCCGGGTGTCGCCGCTGAGCGCGCACACCTGGCGTCGCGGCCGACGACACCTCGTCGACGGCGACACTTGGCGCGCGTCGTCGCCGACGGACGAGTGTTTACAGGCCGCCGCGGCCGTCCGAGGGCCGACCGGCGTGCTGACGACCGCCAATCTTGATAATGGCCCGCCGCCTAAAGAAAACGGGCCCAGACTATAAATAAGGCCGACGGGAACTTGGTGAAGGTGTTAACTGATGTTGGCCTGCTGCTATAAAAAGCCGTAAAGTGAGAATGATACAATCAGAAATGGGTTTGTGCCAAATTCAACAATGTTTCGGGGAAGCCCTTGATACATTGACAAATATTCAGTATCCGGCTTTTGCACAATAAATATGGCGTACCTTCCCTTTCCATCATGTTTGCAACACAAATTGTTCTAATATTAGCTAGCGCACGCCTGTTTGAAAACAACTTCATTACATTACCTTATGTAGGCTGCATGCTTCATTGCTTGATTACAGACAGAAGCATCCAGGAACATTTCAGCGGCAACAGCGGCGGAATGGATTCGGAGTGCTGAGTCCACAGCGGAGCGGTAGCGATGTCGGTGGTGTTTGCGGACGGATTTCAGCTGCCGTCGCCACCGACAGGTCCTGTTGGTGATTCGTAAGAGCTGCCGCGGGGCAGAGTGGCCGGCGGACGGCGGTGACAGATGGACGCTGGAAATGATGCGGAGCAGCCAGCCCCCTCGATACACCCGCAGCCAATCGCCGCGAGTGTGCAGGCTGCCCTGCGGCGGTGTTCGTTCCGAGCTGACCCCTGAGAGATCCGCGGTGTGAGCGATATGACCTAAGGCGCAACTGACAGGCGGTGCCGGGATGATTTAATGTGCCGGTCTATAGACCAGGCAGGTGTAATTTATGGTTTTACTCGGCAGTAAAATAGGGCTACAGTTCGCCAAAACATTTAATTTGTTCTTAAGAGGGCGCCAATCAACTTCGCTTTGAAGCCATACGTCTCTGAAGTGAAAACTTCAGAGCAGTTAATGATAACCTCTATGCGTCGTTATCAGCACCATAACTCAAAGCGTGCTAAAGTTGGCAGAAAATTCCGTTCATTTGTCAGCCGGGGCTGCTGCGCGCTGCCGGCTCCGCGGGGTGCCTGGGGCGTCCGTCCAGAGACGGTCCCTGGGGTCGCAGCTGCGATGGCCCGGCTCCAGCCGGGCTGCCCGTTACTGTAACGTAGGTGGGCCGTTCAGAGGCGAGGTCCGGCCCGGAGTGGGAAAGACAAGGGCCGAGTCGACGAGTTCGGGCACGGCGAGAAGCTCAGGTAGGCACCGAGTTCGCAAACAAGGCCATATGGAAGCCAGAAGACGTGGACAGAATCAGACGGTCAAAATAGGTTTTCAGTGGTGAAATCCGGACGTGCAAGTTTTGAACTCCAGCCCTTGTAGCAGTTTGCGAGCCGTATGCTGTCAAAACACATTACGGCCATATTTGCGACATAAACGACCCTTTCCAAACATGTGAGGAGACGGCAAATCAAAAGGCCAGCTCTGCTGTATGTATGCTCGAGGTCTGCCAGACTCGACTCCGATGCTGCACGGTCCCACACGCAAATGTGCTTTGTCACGCCCTTCGCTCCGTCCCCAGTTAGAGCCCCCTTTCTCCTCCCAGCTCTTAGATCCATGCAGTGGAGGCCAGTCAGGTCAGTCGAGCTCAGAGTGATCAGACCACCGGGTCCCGGTCCCAGTGCCCGGAACGGTCCCGGTCCCAGTGCCCAGAACGGCCCCCGCGGACGGACCGTGAGCCCAGCCGTCGCCGTCGCCCGCTATTGGCGCCGGGGCGAGCCGAGACGGCCGCTCGGACGGACCAAGAGGCCGGTCGACGGGGCTCTGTATAATGTCAGAGGGCCGCCGGAACAAAGGCTGTGCTGGACGGACGGAGCGTGCGCGGCATTGCCGCCATGTCGGTGGGGTGCGCGGACGACAGTCGCCCTGCGGGGCGGGTGGCGTAATGAGGCCCACGACAGGCCAGTCCGGGACAAATGACTCATTACGGGAGGCTGCAGAGTTAATCAGTGGCCATGGGTGAGACGAACAGGAGCGATCGAGAGACTTACTAGCCACTAGGGTCGAAAGTGGTATGCTTTTAAATACTAGAGACGTTGGAGGAGAATGCTTCCAAACGCTAACTGAGAGTGCAGGGAAGAGAGCAGTAACATTTGATTGATGCTCACGCTGTACTCTGACTCAGTTTGCTGACCATTCTGACTTTCCTTGTTTGCCCTCAGATTGACCTGCGTCACATCAACCAGTCGGCCGAGTCGAACCACGTTCAGCTGGGGATCGACCTGAAGGAGTACTACCCCAGTGTCGAGTGGGACATTCTCGAGGTACCCGCCACCAGAAACGAGAAGTTCTACCCGTGCTGCACCGACCCATTTCCAGGCATGTTGCGCTGTTTTGATACATGAGCTCCTTTAGTCTATGTGTAAATGTGCTGCTGTGTCCAGAGCAGAGTCAAAATGCTGAGGTTTACGCTTTAGTGCAAATGTTGATATGCACATCAGGCTTACTATAGCGCACATTTTATAGGCATGTATGTAGTTCCAGCACGAGCCATGGACATTAGGGATGGGACGGCCGGTTGATGGCGTCTCGGGTGATAGCCCTGATGACGTCCGGGCTATTTTGTCGCCACAATCCCGCCGGGTCATTATCCCGCGACCGTCACGCTGTGGGCGTGGCCGCCGGCAGGGGGCGTGGCGACCAGCCGTCACCTCCTGAATGCTGCCGTCCCCGGAAAGAAACGCGCCTCATCCATCAGCGCTCTCTCATTTCCGACAACACACCAGCTGGCTCCATCGTCAGCCATTACTTGCTGGAAAACAATACTTGAGCTATCGCGCCCGGCAGAGCATTCTGATTCTCCGGTAGCCCAGTCATGTCTGGGAATAGTGACTTAGGAAATATGCCGCGCAGCAAAGCTCAGCCAACTAGCAGACAGATGTGCAGATTGCACCTTTGATCTTACAAATGCGATCCGAGGCATTCTCGCTATTTCACCTGGCTTTATTGATCGCTCGTATCCAATGTTGCCCGCGCGCGTCAGACGCGGATGCCAGGCGTTAATGTCAGACATTGGACGCATCTGGTGACGCCGCTTGTGCTCAGGTGTCCCAACACAGGTGTGTTCTGACAGTCGGACATTATCACAGATGTCGTGTAAGTCCAAAACGAGCTCACGGACATGTCTCTCTGGACCGTTAGAGAACACAAGTGTGATCATGATAAGTGGCCTACTTTCAGAAAAAAATGTCAGAATTTCACTGAGAACATAGACGCAATTAGCATCAGTTGTTCACACGCAGTTTCTCCGTTATGTTGCAGATATCTATTTCAACATGACGCTGCGCAGGAAGACGCTGTTCTACACGGTGAACCTCATCATCCCCTGCGTGGGCCTCTCCTACCTCTCCGTCCTGGTGTTCTACTTGCCGGCCGACTCTGGGGAGAAGGTGGCCCTCTGCATCACAATCCTCCTCTCCCAGACCATGTTCTTCCTGCTCATCTCCGAGATCATGCCGTCCACATCCCTAGCCGTACCACTGCTCGGCAAATACCTCCTCTTCACGATGATACTTGTCAGCATTTCTGTCATCTCCACCATCGTCATCCTGAACATCCACTACCGGAAGCCGTCCACGCACCGGATGGCGCCCTGGGTGCGGCGCTTCTTCATCCACCGGCTGCCGCCGCTGGTGATGATGAAGGTGCCGGACTCGTCGCCGCCAAACTCGGCGTTCGACGAGAAGCCGGCCGGCACCAGCAGGAGCGGCTTCTCCAGCGCCTCCTCCGGCATGGACGAGGGAGCGCGACTGCGGGCGCTCAACTCGTTCGACGACGACAGGCGGTATCCGTACGAGATTGAGCGGGCGATACAGAACGTGAAGTTTGTACACCATTGCTGGAAGATCCAGGATCAGTATGATGAGGTGAGTCAGAGACACAAGGGTGATGGCGATGCTTCGGTTTTTATCTGTTTTATACGCTTTTCTCAGGAAAAGACGTGTATTTGGATGTTTTATCAAAATTTTCATGCAAGAAAACTTCATTGTATCAATATTTTTTACTCTATTTTTGACAATGTTAGTTGTGACCACTACAGTTCGGAAAAACGCGCACCATTCAATATTGCAATCGCTGCTTCGACCGAGCAGCGAACCGTACCAAATTCTGTCCGCCATATAGCGACACGAAGCTTCTGTCCCTCCAACAGATGCTTCATGCTCTCCATCAAGGGAAGTCTTGCTGACACGAGGGCTGAGTCGTCCACTGGGCTGTGTTTTGTGGCGTGGCAAAATGCCACATTTCCTTGAAATGAATGGCTCATAGAGGCTGCCATGAAACTGTGCTATTTCACAGAAGAGCGATCGACCCTGCCGCCGCACCAACAGTAACTTTTACTAGACGTTCGGACCACCATTGACCAAAACTTCACTATCACGGTGCACATCGAGTATGAAACACAGAACAGTGAGCCAGATAACGTCTAGCACTAGAATATTGGTACGATTGGTTTATCCCAAATACATATTAGGGTGGAAGCCCGAACAGCAATGTTCACAAAGCTGGTCGCTGGACTTCATATACTCGGTCTTTAACCCTAGAACGCCTAGGGGGGGGGGGTTGTATCAACCCCTCCCCCCTGAGGTTTTTTCGAAGTGCACGCTAAACGGCTTGTCGTAGCGGGCTGATATTTTCAATACCCTCTGGGGCAACCTTTGCGCATCTTTTGCCGAAAAAAAATTGATCGGGTCATGTCAGGTCACGGAGTTATGACGTCATAAGAGGTACAGCCTCCGGCCGACAGTTACCAAACGTGTGCGCCGAATCCCTAGGTTTTCTGCCGGTGATACCCACATTGTTTGATGGATCATGATGAAACTTCCCATGCATGTTGGGGCAAGCATTGGCTATCGTGTGGTGCAAGAAAATTGACCGGGTCAGGTCAGGTCACGGAGCTATGACGTCACAAGAGGAACAGCGTCCGGTACTATTTTTGAAAAGCGCCCGAACCACTATTTTGCTAATTCTTGTCACCTCAATGGGAATATGCAGCAATATTAGCTTCTATAGGGAGCAAATGGACCTCCCAAATCCAAAAATACAATCAGATTTCAAAAGTTTAAATTTTGATTTTTCGAATTTCTGCCGCCGACTGTGACCTTGCCGACTTCCGGCGCTCCCAACGCGCCATTTTTAGAGCTAGGGAAACGAAATACATACCAAACGATAGAGAATTGATCAAGGAACACGATAGTGAAGATTTCAAGTCGAAATCTCCCACCGTTTTGCCGCAATCGCCGCGGAAAGTTGAAAAAAAGTTTGATTTTTTTCGGAAAATTTGACATTTGACCGGTCATAAGTAGGTCAAATGTTGACCTAGGACCAAAAAATATACCACCAATCGCGAGATCTCGTTGAGAGCAATCCGTTGGTTTTTTCCGCTAAGCTCTACGACCTTCCGTTTCGAAACGCCAGGGGGGGTCGTAACAACCCCCCCCCCCCTGGTCGTTCGTGTTATGAGAAATGGCCTGGTCGTGCGAGGGTTAATGACGTTGTAAGTACACCAGACAGCAATAAAGGATGTGTGCGACTTTGAAAGCAAACCTTACAGTCGCATTATCTTTTTTCAAATGAAATCCAGTATTTCCTCAATCTTTTTACACTTTGCCCCAAGCAGTGTCCTTTTTCTCGATACCGGCGAGGGATTCGGTTGTCTATTTTTCTCGTCGATCCCAGTCGGTTGTTTACCACCAGAACTGCACGGCCGGACGCCATTGCCACATACCATTTATCTACCCTCTCTCCCCTTCCCTCTCTTTCCCTCTCCTCCTCCCTCTTCCTTCCGCGAACCGTCATTACCAACGATCAATGGCCACGCTCAATGACCGTCAGTGCCCGGATAGGGGCGTTCAATTTGTCGGCCGTGACGGGTGCCGAATGACTCTCCGCCAATCGAAATCGAGCGGTCCTCCCGTGAGACGCCGCCCGGGATATTGACCGGAAAAGGGCGAGTTTTGTAGCCGCCCCGCAACAGAGCGAGCTGAGGGGTGGGGGTGGGTGGGGGAGGCCCATGGAAGCTCTCGGAAGGTGTGGTAGCCCGATACCCCGATATGATTTTTATTCTTATATGATTGAGGTGCTATTAAACATTGAGTCTCTTCCTTTAGTACATCTATTGATAAACCGTTTACTTTTTTCAAAGCCACATGTGAGACATAGAAACGTCCTTGCCGTGCCTGTTAGGGCCACTTAACATTTACCCTGAATCAACAATAAATCAGCCACCTTGTCCGAACTTTGGTCGTTATTCGCGTCCAACTGTTCACAATCGGTCAAGGCACCACCACCGCCGCCAATGTCTGCAACGTGCCAACTACCTGAGTAACTTCCACCATCTCACATAAGCTACGGTCAGAAGAACTATCAGCACCGAAATCACCTGTTACCACAAGCACCACTGGCACAGCCACCACCAGAGGGAGAACCCATGCACCCAGCATCACCACCACCACGACCATCAGCACCACCACCAGCACCACCACCAGCACCATCGTCATCCAGCGCCGTCGCTCCGTCACCACCGCTGCTCCTGCGTGGGGCGTGCAACAGCCGCCTATCGATCCCCCGGCCGCCCACCCAGCCGCCCTCCCTCCCGACCAGTCGTCCGTCCGAGCGCAATACCGACGGCCGCTCCGAGAGACGAGATCTGCTCCCGATCGCGACTTATCAGGCGAATGTAGTGTTTGAGTTTTGGACACTTCATGACTCACGACTTCGACTCTGATTCAACACCGACTCCGACTCCTAATCAGCACTAAATTCGAATATATAAGTTTTTGCCCTGGCCCCGAAGTTTTATTTTTACCTGAACCCATCTCCTAGAAGCGCTCATCACCCAACTCTAACTCAAAATTTTACCTATGTAGCCTCCTTCCAACCATCCACGCAACACCGACTCTGCTTTTAATCCTAATCCACTAAACTAAACTAAACTTTTCCAGCTTTGATTCTGAATTCCACCTAATTCAGCTTCACTTCTGCTCTAAGTTTGAGCTCAAATTTTCGCCCCACTCCAACCTCCTCGCCACCGCCTTCGTCCAGCTCAAAGCAGCACTCTGACCCTTTCCCCTTTCCATGTAACAGGAGGACCAGGACTGGGCGTTCATAGCCACCGTGCTGGACCGGGTGCTGCTGCTGCTCTTCAGCGTCGTCTCGCTGCTCGGAACGTTCGTCATCTTGTGCGAGTCGCCGTTCCTTTACGACACTACGCCGGCCATCGACATTCAGCTCTCGGAGGTCGCGCACCAGATGGACATTTTCGGCGATACGTGAGCGCGTCTGGCGCCGGGGGTGGGACTGGGGGGGGGATGCGTGTCGCCGGCTGCAGCACAGCGGGATGCTGTGCGTCGACTGCCATGGCGCCGGCCGGCGTGCTGTTTTCGTCGCGCAGCCGGATCGTCGTGCGGACGATGAGCTTTGTGCTCGCCGATATTGGACGTTATGCCGTTGTTGGTGGTGGAGTGGGGTGGTGAGGGGGGCGGGGGCGGCACAGTGATACG